CCACTCCAGACCAGATCTGGCTCTTTTTGAGAACTTGAACTGTTCCAGCTCTGAGTGGCCAGCAGGGGGCAGCAGACTCCCACTTCCTGTTGGGAATAATCCGGATAGACCACGGATGGATGGATTATATCCATAAAAGTATTATCTTATAAAATATATTTTCAATTGTTCATTTGTATGTTCGGATCTATATTTCTAAAGATTTTTCATTTGTACATTCGGATCTATATTTTTAAAGATTGTTCATTTGTACATTCGAATATTTTTTTTAAAGATTGTTCATTTGCACATTCGGATCTATATTTTTAAAGATTGTTCATTTGTACATTCGGATCTATATTTTTAAAGATTGTTCATTTGTACATTCGGATCTATATTTTTAAAGATTGTTCATTTGTACATTCGGATCTATATTTTTAAAGATTGTATTTTTCAGTTTTATCATTTCTGTCCTATATATTCATGTAAATCTAAAAACCTACTTGGCAATAAACCTTATTCTGATTCTGATTCTGAAAACACAGATTCTGAGAAAGAACTCTTTCCAGGAGGCAAATTGTAATTCAACTTATAGATTTCTCGAGACTAAACACAGAAGATCCACCATTTGCAAACGTAACCTTCTGGAGACAGGAACTATTTCAGGACTTTTATCTTGAGATGAAAGAGGAACAGTTCCAGTTGTGTTTCATACGGTGGCTGAGAAGTGCAAAACACATTTACAATTTAAAAAAAACCTTATGATTTAAAAAAGCAAAATAAAATTTTAGGATACACATCTAAAGTTCAGAAAACACATTTACAAATTAAAAAAACATAACATTTTAAGCAACAATTTTTTTCAAAAATGTTTGTTTCCTAAAAAATGAATTTGTTTCTTAAAATGCTATATTGTTTTTTTATTTGTTCATGTCACCGATTTGGGAATAAGCAGTTCACAAAATGAATGGATGTGTTTCTTTAATTGTGAATGTGTATCTTACAATGTTATTTTGTTTTTTAATTTTTCAACGTTTTTTTCTTTTATTGAAAATGTGTTTTGCACTTCTCAGCCACCGTAGTTTCAGCACTTGGATGATGATTCTGTCACTAGTGAGGAGTTTCAGACTGAAACGCATCACAGGATATCATCATAGTTCCTGCCAACATTAGAATGAAATAAGATGTTTAGAAGAATAGTTTCTGCTTAATTACAGCAGCATCCAGCTCCTGTAACTTTAACTTAACCTTATTCCTTATTCTGAGCCATGGTTGTGCTCCAGGTTTCTGCCTGTTAAAGGAAGTTGTTCCTTGCCTGTGTCGCCTAGTGCTGCTCATGGTGGGAATTGTTGGGTTTCTGTAATTAACTTCAGAGTAGGTCTGACCTGCTCTGTTTGGAAACATAACTGTTGTTGTGATGTGGAGCTATAGACATAAAATTGAATTGAATTAATTGTAATTTTTTAATGTCATTGTCTGAACGTGTGTTTGGACTGATTTTGTATTGTGTGATTTTGTGTTGTTTTGTCTTCCTGCCTCAGGACCACAGATGTAAACTAGCAACTATGCTAGAATCTGGCTCATTTACAACCTGTATGATATTGTTCATTAATGTGCACTGTCCTGATTAAATAAATAAATAAATAAATAAATAAATAAATAAATAAATAAAAAATATATTCTGGGAGCCTTCAGGTTCATCAGTAAAACTCTTTCCCTTAAAACATCGAGGGAAAACCTAAATGAAGTCAAACAGAGGCAGAAACGAGTCCTTTGGAGACGACTGGGGTCCAAAATTCAAACCTTGGAGGGTTCAGATTCTGCTCCATGGAGGCATTGGATTCTTTTTCTGTTTGGTTGTTTTCTGATTTAAAGAAAAAAAAACTCACTTAAATTTTGGGCCTCTGAGAAAAAAAAGTTTTAGAAGCTAAAGAAGTGACTTTTAAACCGGTCCTCAGTTTATTCACCTTTGCTAACTGAAAGTCCAAGAATCAGATTAATAAAAATATACGTCATCAAAATTGTGTCGGAATAATAATACCCCCCTCCCCCATAAATGAAAATACAATTCACAATTGATCATAAATCCACATAATCAACCGTTTTTATTCAGTATAAAGCACCTTTCTCCCAAACAGGTGATTAAATCCCATAATTAGCCTCTGACTCTTTGAGGCCATATTTAACTTTTAGCCCTGCCTTTTCTTTCCTTTGACTTTTGCCTTTTTTCCTCCACTTTAAACACAAATTTTCTAACGGCCAATTTTGTCATGTGCCTCTGGTCTGTGTTGAGCTTTTTCTATACAGTGGGGGAAATAAGTATTTGAGCCCTTGCTGATTTTGCAGGTTTGCCCACTTACAAAGAATGCAACGATCTATAACTTTAATCATATGTACATTCTAACAGTGAAAGACAGAATCCCAAAGAAAATTCCAGAAAATCACATCATATGAATTTATAAAAATTGATAACCATCTGATGAGGAAAAATAAGCATTCTTTGTAAGTGGGCAAACCTGCAGAATCAGCAAGGGCTCAAATACTTAAGACTTAGACTGAAGGAGATGAGGAGAGTTTGGTCCGGGACAGAAACCCAGAGCTCCACCCACAAAGGGACAGGAAACAGGGGAAGGTTTTATACATTTTATTTGACAAGGATCTCAAAAAGGACCCCATTCATTTCTATACAGGATACATTTGAATCAATAGTGTCTTCATCTCACCTTGTAGTAAAATATCTGTTCATTGTGTTGTGCCCCCCCCCCTTCTGTGAGCAGATGCTGCCCGTCCATCTAAACCGATTTAAATCAGTCTTTAAACAATTTAAACACATTAAACTGGAACAGCTGAAGGCTTTAGTTCAACCACAGATTCAGTTATGAGTTACTAAGGCAGAATTTAAGACTTTTACTTTTACACAAAAACCTTCATCGAAAAAGTGCCGCCCCTCTGAATTCCAATAGTCTGGAATGAATAACAAGCTTAGAAAAGTTTCCACTCCGTCCTCAGAGTGAGTTCATATTTACAATCCCAACCAGGAAACAAGTGACTCTCACTAGTCTGATTCTAGAGAGTGGAAAGGGCCCAGAAAGACTCTAAAAAACCCAAATAACCCACTTAAGAGTCACGTAACTTTTGGACGTTGCTTCCTACATTGCGATGGTTCTAGAGTCACATGACTTAAATTGGTGGTCTCCTCTCCCTGTGGGGAAGAGTTTGTATCTATACTCCCCACCAGGAAAGAGGGGATTCTCAGGATTATAGGAGAGTGTAAAAGGCCCCAGAAAGACTCTAAATAACCCAAATAACCCACTTAGAGTCACGTGACTTTAGAGTCACGTGAATTTTGGACGTTGCTTCCTACACGTTGATGTTTCCCTTCTCCCCCGGTCCAGAAAGACTCTAAATTTCCCACTTAGAGTCACATGACTTATGCAGTTGGAAATACCCCAAATAACCCGCTTAGAGTCACGTGACTTTTGGATGTTGCTTCCTACATGTTGATGGTTCCCTTCTCCCCCGGCAGTGGCTGTGGCTTTCCACCAGGAAAGACGGGATTCTCAGGATTATAGGAGAGTGAAAAGGACCCCAGAAGGACTCCAAATAACCCATTTAGTCACGTAACTTTTGGACGTTGCTTTCTACACGTTGATGTTTCCCTTCTCCCCTGGTAGCAGCTTCTCTTTGTCCTGCTCCCCCCCCCCGCCCCCCCGCCCCCCCCCCCCCTGCATCTCCCGGGTGCGGACCCCGGAGTATGCGGAGGCCCCCCCCAGCACCAGCAGGTTGCTGGCCCACCAGAGGGCGCTGCGCGGGGCGCGGGCGGCGGCCACGGCCAGCAGCGTCTGGGCGCAGGCTTTGGCCGTGCCGGACACGCTGTGTGTGAGCGGGCTGGTGACCTGGATCTGCAGACCCGTCACGTAGCCCACGGCCAGCCCCAGAGCCCCGCCCGTCGCCATGGCGACCCAGAACCCCGCGGCGGCCGGCCGCTGGCTGGCGAGCAGCCGGTGCGGTTCCCCGGAGAAAAGCAGCAGCGGCAGGAAGAGGACGCACGCGTTCAGGTTGTTGTAGAAGGACAGCAGCCACACGCTGCCCTCCACACAGGGCAGGACCTTCTTGGTGTAGATGGCGTTCAGAGACACGCAAGCGCTCGCCAGCACGCCAAACGCCACGCCCGACCAGGACAGGGAACCCGCCAGGGCCTCCTGGTCCACGCCCAGCCAGAACCCGCCTAAAGAGAACAAGTAAAAGCTCAGGATCAGGGGAATATTCACAGGGATTACAGCCAGAACCCGCCT